TGTGTTCATATCCGACATACCCACTGAGCAAATTTTCTGTTTTGGTACAACATGAGGACACATTATTTTTTCCAGTTTATTTTTTGATCAACTATTCAAGAGAATAACCAACGATCAACGAGGAATTACAGATAATCTGTCCTAAGTGAATTAATGGCGTCAGTCCCGGGGGTCTTTCAGCATTCTGTCACAAGGGACAGCTAATCATTAATTCCACGTTTCGAGTAGATTATTCTAAATATTACTCATATTGAAATTGTCATATCGTATTTTTCTTAGCACTGTGACGTCATATATTGTCAATTGTCCAATCAGCATTGAGAATCACAAAAATGCGCATGTGCAAATATTGGAAAGTTGTTACATATGATCACTCTTCCCTTCTGGGTAATATCCTCTAATAAGAAATGGTCGGTCATTTTTAGTTGCCATGGAAATATATGACGTCATACATTGTATCAGGACTTAACATTCCAGAGCGAAGGCCTGTCGTTCTCGCAGCTGTTTAAGCACGCGTACAATGAGAGTGCTGCGGCTCATTACGAAAACGTTTTGTATTTGCAATGTCAACAATTAATGTCGTCTTCTAAAAACTAGTTCCCACACGAAGTCAACAGTTTAAAACGCGTACAAGGAAAGCCAATTAACAGAAGTTGTGTCAGCGGTGAGATTCATTTATCATCCAATGATCATCATATCGCTTGGGTGAGATCAAGCCATATCTACATTGTAGATATCGCTGCAATGAAATTGCATCACAATGCTTTGCAGAACATTGTGACGTCATTGTTACATGACGTCACAATCAAATAACATCACTAATGGCTCTGCTACAGATGCTGTTAGCAGTACTTTTTACACTTAAGACACTGCTTAACACTGTCTACAAACTGAAAAAGTTGGAAGAATGATGTTGGATAATAAATAAAATCTCACCCTCGTGTCTTTTGAAATCAAATATATCAACACTCGTTGATAAAAGCCTCGGAGTTTTTCAACTTTTAACAACTCGTGTTGATATATTTGATACCAAAAGACACTCGGGTGAGATTCTCTACTATATTCTCTATTATATTTTCTACATAACTCTGAGGACAATAAACTAACACAAAAATCTAATGGTTTGAACAAAATAGGAAGTCATCAAACGGAGAAACAGGCATGCCAAAGTTCTGCTCCGTCAGTCTTGTCATTTCAAAGGAATATTCTTTTTACAGAGGCAAATATTGATTTTGAGAGAATAATTACGAGCATGGTCATAACTAAGTCAAAATTTAAAATATCGCAAAAATAGAATACATCACTCAGTCGAACTACTAACTACACATATACCAAATTTCATGAGATTTTGGACTAAAACCACTGAGTAATGACCATTAATAGATTTTAAACAGACCGGGACATAAGTCAGGTGAGCTAAAAATGGTTCCATTGAATACAAACTACAACCGGACTCAGAAACACGTGCTTCATGCTTACAGGTTAGCCTTTAGATATCCATGGGGCGGTCGGGTAGCCGAGTGGTTAAAGCGTTCGCTCGTCACGCTGAAGACCCTGGTTTGATTCCCGACATGGGTACAAGTTGTGAAGCCCATTCCTGGTGTCCCCCGCCATGATATTGCTGGAAAATTGCTAAAAGCGGCGTAAAACAATACTCACTTTCTCAGATATCCACGATACGACATCCAAAGGAGCAACTAGCCTATTCTATGTATACTTTATTACAGAGTCTCTTCCCCGAGGATGGAGAACAGAAATTATAAAATCCGTGTGCAAAAAGGCGTCATTATAGTCAAGTATAGTCCAGTTCAGCAGTCTTCAATTTCCTTGACAATTTGAAGATGGTTTTGTGTTTTTCACACTTAATTAAACAATATGCACTTACTCTACCAAATTGTTTGGTCATTTCCATCAGGGCTTACTTGATAAAGAAATTAACTGTAAGGAAGCAAAATCACCGGCCCAGCTTATTTGGTCACGTGACCCACATCCGTTCACGCCAACGCAACTTATACGTTTGTAAATGCAACGTTTCCGGATATACCAACCCTACTTATCCCCTCATCCCAACCCAAACTATACCCTCATCCCAACCCTACTTATCCTCTCATACCAACCCAACCTATCCCCTCATCCCAACCCTACTTATCCCCTAATCCCAACCCTACTTAACCCCTAATCCTAACCCAACCTATCCCCTCATCCCAACCCAACCTATCCCCTCATCCCAAACCAACTTATCCCCTCATCCCAACCCAACCTATCCCCTCATCCCAACCCTACTTATCACCTCATCCCAACCCAACTTATCCCATCATCCGAACCCTACCTATCCCCTAATCCCAACCCAACCTATCCCCTCATCCCAACTCAACCTATCCCCTCATCCAAACCCTACTTATCCCCTCATCCCAACCCTTCTTATGCCCTCACCCCAACCCAACCTATCCCCTAATCCCAAACCAACCTATCCCCTAATCCCAACCCAACCTATCCCCTCATCCCAACCCTACTTATCCCCTCATCCCAACCCAACTTATCCCCTCATCCCAGCCCAACTTATCCCCTCATCCAAACCCAACCTATCCCCTCATCCCAACCCAACCTATCCCCTCATCCCAACCCTACTTATCCCCTCATCCCAACCAAACCTATCCCCTCATCTCATCCCTACTTATCCCCTCATCTCATCCCTGCTTATCCCCTCATCCCAACCCTACTTATCCCCTCATCCCAACCCTACTTATCCCCTCATCCCAACCCTACTTATCCCCTCATCCCATCCCTACTTATTCCCTCATCCCAACCCTACTTATTCCCTCATCCCAACCCTACTTATTCCCTCATCCCAAACCTACTTATCCCCTCATCCCAACCCTACTTATTCCCTCATCCTAACCCAACTTATCCCCTCATCCCAACCCTACTTATCCCATCATCCCAACCCTACTTATCCCATCATCCCAACCCTACTTATCCCCTCATCCCAAACCTACTTATCCCCTCATCCCAACCCAACTTATCCCCTCATCCCAACCCGTTCATACCAACCCAACATATCCGTTCATACAAACCCAGCTTTCCCGTTCAAGCCAACCAAGTTAGCCGCCCATTGATCAGGCCAACTCACCCGTACATGCCACCCGTCGTATCCAGTCATGTAATTCTTTAAAGCAGTGTGAACAATATTTATCATATGCTTTGTTTCTTCAGCCTAACAATTCAAAGTTTGTTGTTTGTTATTCAACTCCGCATATTCCAGCTATATGACGGCGGTCTGTAAATAATCGAGTCTGGATCAGACAATCTAGTGATTGACATCGTGAGCATCGATCTACGCAATTGGATGCGATGACATGCATGAAGCAAGTCAGCGAGCCTGACCACCCGATCCCGTTAGTCGCCTCTTATGGCAAGCATGGGTTGCTGAAGACCTATTCCAACACGGATCTTCATGGGTCACACTTCAAACTGACATACACCCCAAATCCCTCAACTTTGTTAAACAAAACACTGAATTAGTATGTTGTTTTTTCTTCTAATTAATAATGTACAATGTCTTCATGGATGTTTATTCCTTGACATCCATATTTATAAGAAATCTCTGCCAAAAGTCGATTTACAATTCCGACTAAATCATGATCATGGGTCCATGAATCAATATCAAATAGTAATGACACCAGGTGTTCGCGAAAGGATGAGCGTATCCTGCCCCACCAGTAGCACCCTTGACAAACACATGCAAAAACAAGTCAATTGTTCACTTGAAGAGACTCGGGAATATATGGTACAAGTCAAAATATGGAATTGCATCGGACATCATTTTTGGCACTGATGCATCAAATTTGGAAATGTCATACTCATGTCTACCATAAAAGTTTTTGAAAACTTTACTGAGGGCTTGAATGTTGTAACCTTGATCAAACAACTTCTGAGCAAGAGTCGTATAACGGTCTTTGAAATCTTCGTGGAAAGAGCACGCTCGATTGAATTTCAAAGTTGTAAAATGTTGACTCTAAAGGATGCAGTGAGTGAGTAAGTATGGTTTCATGTCGCTTTTAACAATATTCCAGCAATATCACGGCGGGGGACACCAGAAATGGGCTTCACACATTGTACCCATGTCGGGAATCGAACCCGGGTCTTCGGGTGACGAGCGAACGCTTTAACCACTAGGCTACCCGACCGCTCCCTAAAGGATGGAACTCGATATTGCTCACAGCTGAAGTCATCCCTCATGCCATAATTGCGGATAGTTCTTTTGACACCCTGAATCTTTAGATCTAAACATCTAGATCTAAACATGAAACAGAAGCGGCGGTGTCACTGGTCTCCTTTAGTTCTGGTTCAGGTGGGTAAATCAGTGGAAGGGAATTGGTAAATGAGATGTCTATTACATTGAACTATATCAGAGAATCGATATCTGAAGCTTAAGTTAAATTTGAGTGAGAATGTTAATGTACACACGTTTCTCTCTTTCTCTTCCTTTCTGTCATTTAATGTATTAATTGTAAATAACATACATGTAAATCTGTGGGAGAGGACGACCTAAGCTGTGATAACTTGTATAAAATATGTCTCAACATCGCACATCTGACTAATTTTATGTTCTAGGGCGTTAACAATAATTCAAAGATAAGTCAGTGAGTGAGTGAGTAGGATTTAACGTTACTTTCAGCTTGATGTGCGAGTGATGCATGTCTTAAAGGTTTACCACTTTGGTGAAATCCATGTATGGTGCTGAAAATGAATCATAATCTAAGCGAATATGAGATTCGTACCCACAACAAACAAATATGTCTTGAGGACACAAAATCTGCTACAAAATCTTTGTTTCATAAAAATATTCTGCTCGAAACGGGTAACAGATTCTAATGCCGAAACACTTGGAACCACGCCCTCCTCCCCTGAAGACGAAACGGGTGCCAAAAAACATTACCATCAACGTAAGCACCAATGAACATGCTGGAAAGAAAAGTGAAAATAACAAATTTACTCACAATTTCCGTGGTTCTTTAGCAAGAATAGGTCGGCTTTGCTTCCGCAACTTATCCTTTTCCGAAAAGTTCCTGCAATAAGAGCAAGAACAGAATGGTTTCCATTGGATTGTTGTGAAGAATACCACGGACATGCCACGGTTGTATCTACATAGAAGATGCTGGAGATGACTCGTTATTAAAGTGTGAGGTCGCTTTATATTCTGGCATTAACGCCCCAATCGCGCGCTTAGAAGCCATCAATCACGAAAGATGAGCAAAAAACATAACGGCGAGAGGGAGAGTTAATTAACTTGCCGCGAAACGCGGCCGGGAATATGAAGCAAATTTGTGAAATATTTACGAAATGAGTAATAAAAACTGCTTCTGCGCTGTGGAATTATTTCTCTTGGATAGACATGTCGGGATAAACACATTGTTTGGACGGCAGTTATAGATGCATGGTGTGTTTTATCGAAAAAATCATATCTGATAAATTCATTAGGAAATTAATGTTAATGAATAGCCTGTTCATCAAATTGAGTGGAGACTGAGTACACTGTCTAAAAACCCTTGTACCATAATTTAAACACGTTAAAAGGCTTAGACATGTGTTTAAAATCTAAACATTATAAGGACGTAAACGTGTTCATAATCCAAACGTGTTTAGGACCTATTTCGATTCTTAACATTAAGGCGGCACGGGTGGCCCAGTTGTCAAAGGAGCCGGAATTCGCTGTGCAGGGCCACCCTCGGGCACGCCAGCTGTGGCCGGCCGTTTCTCCATACCTCTCCCGCATAAAACAAGGTCTGGGATGAGATGGAGAGACACCTACGACAGGACCAGAACCAGCCGGTAACGGTTTGACTCAGCTGGGCAATCTTTGGTTCACATTGGGAACAACTTCCCCCAGGCTGTATTAAATCACCTGGTGTCTTTAAGGCGCAGCCGCTGTCCCGCCTGTATCAACGCAAATGGTAACACCCGATACTGACATTGTCAATTGATTTATAACACCACCAGTATTAATGAATTTGTTATGATAAAACATTGCTAAAACAGACGAATGACCAAATATTATGTTGTTAATTTCAGTGACATTACAGTTATACCACTTTATATGAAGCACAGTTCCTTTTTCCACTAGTATAGTCATGAAAACTATATGAATGGAACACTGAAAATATATGATGACGACAGGTGTTTACGAAAAGGATAAGCATGTCCTGCTCTATAACGGTAGCGCCCGCCAGCTGACAAAACCTTGAAGCTTAGTCGTAAGGAAAATCTGTCTTCCCATGAAATTTGAATAAATTGTAATGTACTTAGGAACTGAGAAATGTGGACGGCATAAGCTGCAGCCGATGATATGACTGGAAATTCACGAGTTGAAAATCGAAATCAACCTTACTGTCGAACAGCTTGGTGAAGAGGTTGCCATTAGTTTGAATTTCTATGCAAAGATCCTGATACGAAGCTGAGTATGGTTTCTTTGTGTCTTTGTTTTCAAACTGGTGAATAGATGTTTGGCTTGAAAGATATTGATAAAATATGACTTTAAGAGATTTATCACTTTAAGACAATATTAGATTCAGACTTACGCTTATAAACAATTCTTTCTGGACCTATGTATGATTCAAATGTTCCATGATGAAATTTCCTAAAGACTCCCCCAAGCTGAAATACTGCTAAGGAGCGTTAAACTCAACTCACTCACTTACTACATGAATTGGATATACCGATTGATGCGATAATCTTTTGCAACACAGTCTCGTTTTTAAAGTTGACTCGCGCAAGGGCTGTGGCCACGTTGAATGCCACTATTAGGTATGTCAATAATTTTTAACACAATACCAAACATGTTTAGGCCTGTACACACGTACGATATGTGGATGTTGCTGGTATGTAAGTGAGGTCCTCCTCGTACTAAATGTGTTCAGGTCTTTACACACGTACATGTTGTGTATGTTGCTGGTATGTAAGTGAGATCCTCCTACTTCTAAATGTGTTCAGGTCTTCACACACGTACATGCTGTTGATGTTGCAGGCATGTAAGTGAGATCCTCCTAATTCTAAATGTGTTCAGGTCTTCACACACGTAGATGTTGTGGATGTTGCAGGCATGTAAGTGAGGTCCTCCTAATTCTAAATGTGTTCAGGTCTTCACACACGTACATGTTGTGGATGTTGCAGGTATGTAAGTGAGATCCTCCTAATTCTAAATGTGTTCAGGTCTTCACACACGTACATGTTGTTGATGTTGCAGGCATGTAAGTGAGATCCTCCTTAATTCTAAATGTGTTCAGGTCTTCACACACGTAGATGTTGTTGATGTTGCAGGCATGTAAGTGAGGTCCTCCTGCTTCTAAATGTGTTCAGGTCTTCACACACGTACATGTTGTGGATGTTGCTGGTATGTAAGTGAGATCCTCCTACTTCTAAATGTGTTCAGGTCTTCACACACGTAGATGTTGTTGATGATGCAGGCATGTAAGTGAGGTCCTTCTACTTCTAAATGCGTTCAGGTTTTTACACACGTACATGTTGTGGATGTTGCTGGTATGTAAGTGAGGTCCTCCTGCTTCTAAATGTGTTCAGGTCTTCACACACGTACATGTTGTGGATGTCGCTGGTATGTGAGTGAGGTCCTTCTACTTCTAAATGCGTTCAGGTCTTCACACACGTACATGTTGTGGATGTCGCTGGTATGTAAGTGAGATCCTCCTGGTACTAAATGTGTTCAGGTCTTTACACACGTACATGTTGTGGATGTTGCTGGTATGTAAGTGAGATCCTCCTGCTTCTAAATGTGTTCAGGTCTTCACACACGTACATGTTGTGGATGTTGCTGGTATGTAAGTGAGATCCTCCTGCTTCTAAATGTGTTCAGGTCTTCACACACGTACATGTTGTGGATGTTGCTGGTATGTAAGTGAGATCCTTCTACTTCTAAATGCGTTCAGGTCTTCACACACGTACATGTTGTGGATGTTGCTGGTATGTGAGTGAGATCCTCCTGCTTCTAAATGTGTTCAGGTCTTTACACACGTACATGTTGTGGATGTTGCTGGTATGTAAGTGAGATCCTTCTACTTCTAAATGTGTTCAGACACAAAAAACAAAACACACTCAAAGCCTTTCGTCCGTTTAGGATTTACACAGAAACATAACCACATTTAGAGTTATATGTAACATGTCTTCTATGACGTTACCTAGACACAATTTTACATTGTAGCTTTTTGTCGAATTGAATTCCAGCATTGGTTTTTTTCCTAAATGTTCATCGCTTAGAGACACACAAGGGGTACTGGGGACCTATTCAGCCCCAGAAACCCAACTTAGAGAAAAGCATGCGGTGCCGTCTTTTGCCAGAACTCCCACAAAGAGACAAGCATGGGGTAAGGAACCTATTCTGCTCAAGATTCCTCACCTTGAGGCAATTGAAAGTGTGTGCAACATAGATTCATATAGATTTGTATGGGTCAACATTTCAAAAAGACAAGAAACGTCATAATATCATTAAACCTTAAACTGAAACAATAGCTCTATAATATGTAACAGATACTTATATGCCCAAGCCAATATTTCCCGATTGATATAGGCCAAGTATACAGCTTATTGCGGGTAATGATTTGTCTGATGTCGCGTTCTGTATAATGACTTGTACAGGATGTTATGCAATTATCTTATATATGGGCTCGTCTTCTGAAAAAACGCAGAGATAAACTTACCGCCCATCCACAAACTTGTGTTTCAAATTGATCTAAACAAATTTAAACATATTCATTTGTTTGAGAACTATCTGAATTCGTATATCAAACAAACGAAACATTTCACATAAACTTAAAAACTATGCAAACGACATTACAGTTATTTTACACACTCAGTAAACAACTGGTGAAACTAGCTGCCCTGGTTACACTGAGATTTGACAGTCACCATAATGAATACGAGATCCTAGTACACCCAGGATACCATATAGACTGTCTGGACAATTGATGGACTTCAGGACCGCCAAGAAACCATAGAACGTTACTAAAAGGGGGGCAGCACTAAACAAAGTGATAGAGAACACCATGAGGAAGGGACTGGCTGACAGCCTTTGTCTTATCACATTAATGCCGAACGCCAGGCAGTGTAACAACAAGTACCATCAATTAACCCTCTTTTGGTATGACGGGGATCGAACCATCGACGTTCCGCTCTCCGGGCAGATACTCCATCCACTTGGCTACGGATATGGTCTCTTGTGAATGAGGGAAGGAACACTGATGTGAGAGTTATCACTCGCTCCTTCGCAGTACGTGTTGTGAAGCGTTGTGAAGTCTTGTGAAGCGTTGTGAAGCGTTGTGAAGTGTTGTGAAGCATTGTGAAGTGTTGTGAAGCGTTGTGAAGTGTTGTGAAGCGTTGTGAAGTGTTGTGAAGCGTTGTGAAGTGTTGTGAAGTGAAGTGTTGAGGTGAGGCATGGGGTGTTGAATGGAAGCATGGTGTGTTGAAAAGAAGCGCGAAGTTTTTAACAAAAGCATAAAGTAGGCAAAGTGCAAACTGAAGTGTCAAAGTGGAGACTTAAGTGTCAAAATGGAGACTGAAGTGTCAAACTGAAGTTTCAAAGAGGAGACTGAAGTGTCAAAGTGGAGACTGAAGTGTCAAAGAGGAGACTGAAATGTCAAAGAGGAGACTGAAATGTCAAAGAGGAGACTGAAGTGCCAAAGGGAGACTGAAAAGTCAAAGAGGAGACTGAAGTGTCAAAGTGGAGACTGAAGTTTCAAAGAGGAGACTGAAATGTCAAAGAGGAGACTGAAGTTTCAAAGAGGAGACTGAAATGTCAAAGAGGAGACTTTGTTGAACTGCAACTAATTTACGACTTTACGTTCTGTATGCTAACATCCGGTTTCGCCCCGAACGTTTTGGTGAATCTGTAGGTATCATGTGGACCTTGCCTGCATTTGAAATAAGCAATACAAATCGCAAAGAGGTATCAGTTACATGGAGACCACTTAAAATACTTGGCCTCCTGTCTCAGTACTAGAGAGAAATTTCATACTTACAATACTAATGCTGATATGTGACGGGGGTGCTTTCTCTTGCCCATCGTCGCCTTAAGTGGCGTCCGTCAACACCCAGAGCGATTTCCACACACATAGAGTGGAGGGATTGGTTACCAGGTATTGATTCAGGACCCATCGCGTGAGAATCCCAATGTTTTATCCGGATAAGGTGTTTTTCCATCGATTTAATTACTTGTCTGTTGTTCTTGTGTTGCCAAGGCGGTGTCAGATTTTCTTATATAAATATATTCAGCAAGTTGGAATAATAGTCCAGGTGGTGGAATGTTTGTGTTCTATTTACAGTAGGTTTCATTAGCAAGTTTCATAATAAAATATGCATTTGACAAAAATGTAAGGAGGGACATTAGATTGTGTGCAAGTCATTATTTTCATTGTCCCACTAAACACGGTGCACCTCTTACTCACAGGCAAACATATCTTTATCCGGGTTGGAAGGTACAATGCATAAATTCGAAGCAGTTGTGTCTTTTCTTTGAACTGATCAAGTTGCTTAAGGCTTGTGTAAGCGTGAACGTCATTTGATGGATGACGTCAGGTGTTTCATTGCGTTGACGTAACATGGCATTGTAATCTCCAACTCCAATGCTCTCTACATCCATGCACAGTTATAACAGTTTCTATGTCTTAACATGACGTTATATCCTTGCCAATATCTTAATATTAAATAACCTGTCGGACAAAAAAAGTATAAACTTGAAAATAAGATTTGACCAAAACATTACAAACGTTATAAAAAAAAATATAGTTCCAGTACAAATTGTAATCATCTGCCGGGCATAAGAAAGTATACGCTTGAAAATTAGACTTGACCACACAGAAAACAAAACGTCATCAAAACGTTACTAGGTTGAAACATATTCTAAAACACAGCAAACGTAAGGTCAGAAACACAGCTATGATACCCTAATACACCCCCATCGAACACCCATTCCTTGCATGTTTCATTCATAGCCACCATGAAACATGGATGTATACTTTCTTTTGTCCGGTAGTTTACAGTAACAGTACGTCCTTTATATTGAAGTCCACCATAGTGTCCCATCTGTAATGACCCGTTAAAGTCTTATAAGCGCACTTATTAGTATTGATCCAAATCATACCATCCAATCTATGACACAATGCATATGAACCCGATACTTTCATTATTCAACACAAACGCAGAGGTATACTTACACTTGTGACACCTGAATAAGATCCCCAAGATCGTCGTCCTCTTCCTCCTCAACCTCTTCACCAGAGTTATCTCCCCAGCTGACCGTCGACGACCTTGCCGAGTTAAGGTGTTTAGCGCTGAGGTATGACGTGTTACTCGGGGTGTCACTGACCTCTCTCGTCCGACTCACTATCCCTGAAGAGCTCACATTGGAGTCCACATCAGTCTCCACCATCAACACAGGGGTTTCAAAACTCGTCTCTAACCGCCTGCCCATAATGTGTTCAACCTCACTGTCTTCATCAGTCCTCGATGAAGGGACCTTCTTATGTCCTTTATCACTAGATCTATTAGATATCAGCTTGTTTTTGCTAAAACGTCTTCTAGTTCTTTCCCCTTTTCTTGACAGTTTTCGTTTGTTTATTTGGACAGTGGAGCCAACATAAAGTCTATTTCTGTCAATGATAGGGCTTCTTCTAGCACTGTCTTGTTCGTCGACTCTTCCTATAATAGGCAGAGTTGCTATTTGATTTCTATCGTGCCCCTCTGATGAATCCATCCTCACGAAAATAGGCATTTCAGTATCGCTTTGTCCCGCTGAGAGCAAGCCCTCCTTCCCCCAATCCGATCTTCCTTTAGAGGTCCTACTGTAATTCTGGGTGGTTGTACCACTTGTTGAAGCACGAGTTGAAGCGCGGGTTGAAGCGCGGGTTGGAACACCACTAGATTGTTTCCACATGTTCCTGTCTTGGCTGTACTTGTGTGCATCCACCCCCAGGTACTCCACCGACCATTCCTCTATGCCGCCACTCCTTGGCACTCTATGTCCAGTAGATACAGGGGTTTCTGTTTTGGAGAACTGGAACACATAATCCTTCCTCCTTGTTGCTGTTGCAGCTACCTTGGAGCTCACTCTGTGTCCACTTTCAGGGATTCCAAATCCACTTGAGGTCAACACGACCTCTGGATGTCCCTGGCGTCTGAAAGCGTTTGATCCATCCCGTCTGTCCTTTCTGACATGAACCGATGTTCCCCGGAGATTTAGATGATTATATTCGGCAATTGTTTGGTCACTGGGGACATCAGTCTGATTGCTATGAGTTGACCATGAGTCCTTTTTCTCACGAAACTCACCATTTTTTATTGACGACTGAGAGTGCACATGCTCACCTACAGTCCGTTTCCCAGTCTCGTTAGTTGTTTCATCTATCACAATCTTGGGAGATCTGGCTCCTCCTAGGGGGAGTCCACATGTCTTAGGTTTACCCCTTGTATTATGGGCAATGCGTCTATTTATGTGCTCAAGCCTTTCCTGAAACCTCTTCTTCCACGGGCTGCCCTTTCTTTCTGACGAATTGTCACTTTGGGTCACATTAAAATGCGGGGGTGTTTCGGGTGTCAGTCGTAGGCTGTCTTTCCTCGAGCTTCTTCCACTTGTGCTTGTTCGAGAGCGTGTCCTTTCTTTATGATCTGGGGATAACATGTTTTTCCCGCGGGAACAGCCCCTGTGATACAGAGGTGAAAGTTTCCCAACGCTTCCCTTGTCTTCAATATCCACACTCAGGTCTGGAGTAAATGTGACAGTTTTTTTCCTTGATGTTGTGTAATCAAGGCTGTTCGATGGATGATTGTACTCCTTTGTATGAACACCAAGTAGGCCGCCATGGTCGCGTGTGAATGAAGGAGAATTCCTCAATTGTTCACTAATATATTCTTCTTGCATTTGTCTTTCATTGCCAGGGTTAAGTCTCAGCTCATGCTTATCAAGAGCTGGTTTAGTCTCGTGGGTGTCCCGCACCTCAAAGTACATTCCATTATGATAAATAGCATAACCTACTTCATGGTTCTTCTCCTGTCCCTTCAACCCATCATCCGTGTTGGTGACATTATCCAAGATAAGGATATCAATCTTGCTTGAAGTCTTGTCATTGCAGTCTTGAGAACCATTGGCAAGTTCATTATGAAACGAGGGCTGTCGGTGTAGCTCAACCTCAGTGTATTTTGTTGCACCGGCTCCTTCAGAAGCTTCGTCCAAGGAAAGACTAAGAACAGCTTCTTGCAAAGGTGGGAATAGGGAACCAATACCAACGTAGATCTTCCCTTGGCGTCTCAATGTCTGTCTCCTCTGCTGAACATCGCCATCCAAAGAAGGAATATCAGAACTTTTATACGAAGGCAACTTAGGAAGGTCAGCCCCAAAATGATCGTCCTCTTTCAACTTGACAGGATCTTTAGATTCGTCAACAACTAAAGGAAGAGGGGAGCGTTTGTGGAGATCTTTCCAGCCTGTTGGCCAAGAATATACATCCCTTTTGTTATCCATGGAGGCCAATGTTGTGTCAATGTGAAGTTGGTTCATCTCATTTGTGGTGCCTATACTAAATGCGGGTAAGAATTGCATTGTGTACATGGACTGCACTGCCAGTGCCCACATGCATTTCTCGCAATGGTAGAATTAACATATAAAAGTAACACTGATTCATTCACGTTTTGTGAAACAGATGTCAGTTCAGATTTTGGATATTGAATGTTGTAGTGAATACGTGTCTTGAAATAACATGAATAGGAATCCATTGAATAAAGTGTCAGATTCATGCCCTGCCATGATCTTAGTTACATGAATATTTGTCACATTTGATTCCTACACACGAAGCCCATTTCTTGAAAAGAGGTTTATTTTTAAGTGTCCTTGTTGATTCTTAACATTTAAAAAAACGTAACATTTGTTTAAGGTTAGCTAACTCCTGGGACATCAATAAGTCATGTGCCCCTTGATTGCTTCATAATCCCCACGCAAGGAAGAGCAGCAAGGGGACCATCCCTGTCTATGATGACATGTAAGGCGCATCACCCATCGGCTAACAGATCGATGGGGAACTATAGAGGAAAAGCAAACATCACCTTCTTTACCCTATTTACGTCCAGACACAACTTGGTGTAGCAGTGTGGAGCTTGAAGTGCTCTGTGTCGATCCTCCTCTTGGATATGCTTTGGCTTGTCTTTTCACTTGAAAAAATGTTCAAGATACTTCGATGCCATTTATCCTGATTGCATTTTTCCACATGTGATGTGACATTTCATGAGCCTTCTATATCCACCGCCAAGATAGTTTAACCTCGAGGCATGTCTACACATATTCACATTCATTTCAGAATTTATCCTTTAGCTGCCTGTATGTTGCCCAAGAAATGTTCTTGTCCTTGTCCCCTCTGTGATTTTGGCTTCGGCCTAAACATTATTTGTCCGTGCCTTTTACCTGAGTAGGTTTGATGTTCATGTCTATTATCCACACAATCGGAGGTACCACTTGTGCATGATCATCTTGAGATCACAAAAAATAAATCACAATTTTCCACCGCTTCCGCCAAGTGTCGAGGAAACACTAGTCTAGTTGTTGTCTCGAACCTCGTCTTTATTCCTTTGTGAAATCCGGAAATCAACCTCCAGACAATAGGATGTGATTGTGCTGAATCATAACTATCCAAAGTCTCATCCCATGTCAGTTTCTTAACTCTATGACTCGTTGAGAGCAGGCCATATCACTCTGTCCTCTTGAACACTTACCATCGAGCTGGATCTTCATAAGCTGGTCAATTCTGATGTGATGACGTCGTTGTGATACGGCTTCAACGGTGGAGCTAATAACGTATCACTTTCATCACAGGCGTCGGGGTTCATGAAACACTTTCATGAAATACATTCTCACAAATATAGCGCTCTCAGTATCACACACATGTTCCTCTAGCCATGATACCAATGGCTTTGTTCAAGGTACTCCAGAAACTAGAAATATTACCTGATATATTCTGCACATGCTCCCAGTTAAAGTAGGTCATATCGCACACGTTTCCCAGATTGAACGCTGTGTTATATTACCAAATTAATTACATCCACGCACACATTGCTCCCTTGAGATTCCAATTTCGACAGCCATTTCCCACGGAGGATCTACAGGCCAGACACTATGGCGAAGGTCATTGCACTGTGTATTGTCTCTGACGTTGACCGCTCCTTGAAGATAATGCATCGCTAGTTTATGTTGATATTAATCAGCATATATTTTACTATTGACCATCCCTAGGCTCATGCTGGTTTAAAAACAGTTGTGTAAATCTTGTGGTCTCGGGGAATTAACGTCTATTGCGCTTGAATCAAGCGGTATGAATTTTGAATGAGACGTTAGACATGCAACGCTTTGACGCCTGCCGTCACTGATATGGGGCGCTTGATGACTGACCTGGAGATTTGTCCTTTGTTAAAAGTCATTCTACAACACAGAACAAGTATTGGAAATTTGTTTCATTTTCAGGAATGAATAATAATGGTTTTTAAATTGTATTTAACGTTTCAGCAGCAACTCATGTTATACCGGAATAGTTGTTAGCTGTAGTTTTGAGTGATTAAATATCTGAGGTATCACGTAGTGCGATCGTATGGAACCCCAATTCGTTACTAGGGGTACTTGAATCTACCTTGATCAACAAAGAAACAGCAGACAATCTCAAGACCTGTGAACAGTAATGGGCAATGATTTTGAACACTGGTATGGTACACAGAGATATATTCAAATGTTCACTTATTATTGAACAACAAACCATGTATATAAAAGCGACAAAACATTCCATATCCATAAGAAATCTCTGCCAAAAGCCGAGTCGACTGTACGATTCCGACTATAGCATAAGCATGTGTTTATGAATCACAACTAGTGATGACGCCAAGTGTTCGGGAAATTGTGAGCGTACCATACCCCCCCCCCCCCCCCCCCCCCCCCCCCCATTGGTTCCCGTCACAAACACATACAAAGGCGTGACAGGGATATTAAAAGTGGCTGAGGTTCAGAAATCCCAGTTGACAAATGACAAGATAGTATGAATGATCGGTATCAGTGAGGATTGCAATGTAGAACTTATAGGTGTAATGTTATATTACTTTGTAAAAGATAGCTACGCGACAAATCGCAAAGAAAAATAATAGCGAAGTGTGGTTTATTTCACGATAAAACATATATAGTTCTATCATGACGTCATTTTTGAAGATTCGAACATGCGCTCGCAACTTGATGACGTCGTATATTAGATGACGTATTTTTTTAAGAGGGCAGGATCTAGTGAGTTGTTCCCCATAGATGACGCAGATAAACGCGATGGCTAAACGATCGCATCCAAAAGCTGGAGAGATAAAACAATCGGTATTGAGAGAAAACGTACAGGTAATCGACGTAAGAATTGTGAGAATATACGTAAAATACCCACCTTTGCATAAAATGGACTGTCCGACATTGCCGAGGTCGGATTCTATTGAGGGATTCATCATTATTGAAATACGGGTAAACATTTTTAAAGCTTGTACACTTTATCATCACCCTTAAAGAGGCTGTACATAATGTTGATTTCTTATAATAGGAATAAACGACTCTGTGCCCTTCAAGGCTTATTCCTGCATTGTTTTACTGTACGATAAACAACCCAACTCGTCGTTTTTTTCTTAAATAAGCCGAACCCATAAACCGCTGAGTTTCTCCACGTTACAGTTGGAAAGAAACGGATACTTTTTCGAGGAAGCTGACATGATCAGCACCTGTCAGAAAGAAGATTTCCGACACCAAACATTAAAATTATCTTTTGAATCAAGGGTAGGTGTGTCAGGCTTTAAATATATTATATGGGTATGAAATCGTATTCGATACCTCGTTCTCAAAAGGATTCTAATTCTTGGCCGCTCTCAATAGCTGTCAGTAGATGTCCGATTGTAGCCACGAGCGTTTCAGAAATACAGTATCAAATAATATTTGGGGTAATACTGGCTGTTATTATCGTATTTATGACAACAAAGGCTGTTGGTGTTTGTAAGTTGTTAGTGCACACTGTATATAGAGTTAAACGAGCTGCTATAATCAATGAAGTTTTACAGTAAAATCTGATTTTGCAATCGTGATAAAAATGCAATTCAGTGTCTATATTGAATACTGTCAACACCGTTGTGTCGAAGGTGAAGGAACCTACGTAAATACTTAAGAGTTATCCGAGGTTCGACACAACCGAAAATAATGATTCTTGTGACACAGTTGGTGTTTCTTCGGAGAATAAACTGAATTATGATTGGATTGGGGACATAGAGACTAATTATTCTGTAGAAAAGACATGACTAACATATACGTTACGCAAAGTACGCAGCTGTGCAAAGTTTAAACAATTCTGAACAAGGTGTACCAACAATTATGTTGCGGCGTCCATTAAATATTTGAATGAAGTATTTGGAAATTTCTTGGCACCTGATAATAGACACAGCTCGTCAAGTCAATGACTGCATCCTTAAGTTCTTTATCAAACGTTACTTATTTTGCTATCCCCCTATGTGCTAATCCATCAATTAGTAACCAACACGCCCAAATGGGACATTGCTGTTTATCTTAGCTATTTAGCCCTTATCGAGTGGTTTTATATCAGTTCTCGTCACGATATGGCTGAAATACTGCCGATGTGACGTTAAATATTAACTCACTCACTCACTCACTTATCGAGTGGGTAAATGTTTAATGCAGCATTCAGCAACATTCAACGTTAACCAAGCAAACCAGTGACTGAAACCACGTCATCGGGACACGATGACACACAACCAGTAGCCACAAAACCTGGACCCCTGATCCTCTCTAGTCGGCTCTTACAAGCCTGGCATAGTCGGAACCCTTACAAGCTGGAATTCCCAATAGACCTTGAGCTAAGAGGACGATGTACCGTGGATAGTCCTTGTGGTTAGGGCGTTTCTCAAACATGGGTTTGATACCCTTCATGTGAATATGGAGTGAAGTGTATTGTTTGTGTCAATACAGAAAGGACGAGTTCCAGAAACACATTCGTAATTCACTAGTAATTCGTCCAGCAGGACAGGAAGACACCTGGTCGGGTCATCATTATGAAGTTTCGAGAAACAACAGAACGGCTTTTAAACGCTTGTTGGTAAATATTTTAATCCATAGAGACAAGGACAGGCGAAAGAAGAACATTAGTGACAGCGTAATAAACAAAAGCACCTCTTTCGTAGCATGATATTTACAAGATTAACGCCAAGTGCACAAATAAACGTAAGGACTTTTCACCAATGTTCGATTAATACATCGGGGCTAGTAATTCTGCTATACACTCACGCACTTACTACCTTCCCTTGAAAAATTCTGTTAGTAACATGTTATCACAATTATTATAGAAACAATGGAGTATTCTGCAGGATTTACAGTGGATTTACAGATCAATTAGTCACCATGTACAAACACAGGCCCCATACCATGCAATCAATCGGCAATCAGTCGCACATTCGCAATGTAGTACTTCAGTGGGTTGGGGCAATATTTCAGCCTTGTCGAGACGGGGACCACAATCAATTGACCAGAAACTACATTTTCAGGACCAGTCACCTCTTTGCCCCCAACAACAAAATATTTGAAAACTATTACTAAAGCGTGTTCTATGTTTAACAAAGAATGTTCCAGGTGAAACCCAGTTTATAAAATGTACGAAGGGTGAAACATGTCACTCTGTAGTCCTTATTTGATTTGGTCAATTCTCACTAGTCTTTAATATTTCGTTATGTGGACTTGAAACAGCTGGGTTGAAACCAGATGCAGGGTCTTGTAGGACCATGGAAGTGTAAAACTTGCTGATAGAGCTAAATCTCTTTACAACAACAAACATTCATCATAACAATTCGTTGTGACCTTAAAACACAAATCTATATATCACACTTATTCAAGCTATAGAGTATGTCATATATAATGGATTGAAACGTTCATCCAGGCCAAAGACGTTTGGCTGAATGTTAGATTGCTTTCAGACGACCCTGATAATCACATAGGCATTATAAATATAAAAGATAACATTGATGTGTTATGAATATCATGAAGAGTACAAAGTAAGCATTGAGTAGGAAAATGCATCTCACCCTGGGACCTGATATTTCCATAGCAACGTATCTCCTAGGCTTCGAGGTTAATACCATGAGTACCACTGTGCCAAGTAGCCAAGGTTTCATCTTCAAATTGCCATCCACTGCATGTACTTGCTATTGTGACTTATCTTAAGATGAGAAGATCGCAACAGGAACACGACTCTCCTAATGGTTCCGCTTTGAAGGATAACTATTTATTTCCTGGATAATAGTCTGCATGTTTTGCATTGCAAATTACAGTAGACACTGTGATATATATATATATCCTGCTATTCAAGAGCATTGAATATAAGGGAGGAAGACTTGTTTCGAGGACCACTGTTCCCACTGCCATGTAAAATAGTTTCTTACACTATGTAAGCCTCTTAACACAAGGGAGTAACTTTCACTCACAGCGTTAGTTCTTTGTTACCTACTTCTCCAACATGTCTTAGGTCTTTCCAATCTTTGCTTACAGAGATAAAGAGATAACTGGGGATCACAGCAGCTTTGAAACTGGAAATGAATTCAAAGAACAAGGTAGGATATGGGCCCTTTTTGGCCAACAGGAAATGTCAAATATTTAGTTCATTGAAAATCTTGAAATATTGGTATGAAAAATGATTAATTAGTTCAAATGTCTGACAACAGACTTTGTTTCTTTCTTACACTTCCATGTTTGGTAATAATTAGCAAGTCCTTAGCAAGATTATCTTTTACCAATGATTGTAATATTTATATCTACATACTTATGAAAATCAGCTATGGTCAAATACTTGCTTATGTTAAAAATTTGGGAATACACTTTCAGAAACACTAAACCGTTTTGACACTTCGTAGCCTTACCTATATATTTTGACATTATAAATCCCAAACTACAAGTGTTGAAATGAACAAAGTGTAATTCTCATGAACACATCTTTTATAAATATTTCTAAATGTCTTACTTATTATTTTAACGATGCAGAACCTGTGGGCCAGCATACCACACCTTGTTCTTTACTTCCTACCAGACTGAAATGTCTCTTCATAAGTGATATGTATATAAAAAAGTCTATTATTAAGCTATGACTTGACAAACTAGCAAAGATGATTGCGGTACTCAAACAAATACACAGAAAAGGTTCTTGTCGAGTCCTGACAGTTACATTGAGACAATTTAAAAAGCAAATCAAACTAGAAATACCATGTGGTCTAATATCTCATTCCATTTCTTCCTTTAAATAAAGAATTATGCTCCATGGTCCGGTGCTTATTTCTATTGTTGGTCTACATGTTGTCGAGGTCCTCTTTTGTTTGATTTCTAATGTAGTGAACAACTACGGTATTTTCTGAATGCTGCTCAAATGACAGTATTCAAACCTAGAAAATAACACCACATAATACTCCTGAAAACAGGCAAAATAAATAAAATGGGAACAAAGACAATTTTCACTTTAAAATAATTCTTTATACAATGTCACATATATGTACAACATACACATTTGCATTGCCACATACAACTTTACATATTTGCTGCACAAACAATTGCATCAACTATACAATACACATGTATATATATATATCTTAAAACTTAAGAAAATACAAATTATTTCCGTAAAATTTCATGGACAGTCATAACACCTATCAACCATTTATACAACATAACTAGCCCTCAACTAACCAGCATAACAATCAATGCCCATCAGTGCCTAATACAGAACAGAGCCATGTAACAGGATAGTAGAGATTATTGTCTACAACTTTAAAGCCCAACAAAAAGGCATGCGTTTAACAATGGAGAACAAAAATCTTTAACAAGTTGCTAGTTAAAACATTAACTTATACTACTCAATAGAAGTTAAGGACCACTTGACCCTATTATCTTACTAGAGTTAATCTGTCATAGCAAGACATTAACATTGTAATATGAACGAATGGGGTGGTCCTTAACTTCTTTTGAAGTCTCTGAAACTGGTTTTGGTGGGAAATTAAACCATATTGACTTTGTAAGCCAGCATGAAAATGTAAAACATATGGTTAACTCCAACATTGCTTTCATAACCTATTATGATATATATGTTATATCATTGGTGACCTTTTTGTGATTATGTGAGTATTTATGTTCTAATGTTTTTCACACATTCAATATCTCAGACAAAAACATAATCATGGTAGCAACAGCTGTAAATATTAATAAACCAGAGGTGACCATGACATGACCATTCCTATATCTCAATAAAGCCACTGCTCCAGAGACGACACAAATAGTCTTTTTGTGAGTGATTTCATTCAAATCCTGAACATATCTGACATAAATGTTTAGCCTTGTATATTAAAGCCAGAGCAACTGCCTTTTTTCATTTCACAGATGGGCCAAAAAATAACAAAAATATTGTGTTGCTTGCTTACTGCAATCCACTACTTGATCAAACCTTTGTTTTTAGCCAAATTCAATATGTTCCAAGGCCTTCAGGTAAAATAAACCAACCATGCATATTTAGAATCAACTAGCATGATAAATAATTTCTTTTATACCAGGCTGTTTCTTCCCTCTATTCTCTGTGAACCAAGAAATGCGATTGGCCTGGCCCTAAGCGTTTGATAAATGTCTGTATAATAACAAATATAAGGTGATATTGCAAAGATGTGTGTATACTGACTGTGTGTATAGTTGAGTTATTCTTTGCTAGTTATCGTGAAAGGTATTTTTGGTAGAATCAACATTTTTGTCATAATATCTCAACATTGTAGAACCGGTTGTCTGAGCAAAACATTCATTTTGCCATAGCAATAACCATCAGATCTTAAACACAGGTTTTTCTGGCAGATGCTAGACCAAGAAACACAACAGTTACTTTGCTGCATAATGACGCGAACAGTTGGACAAAGCCATATTGCAAAGTTAAACACAAATATCAAAACGGTTTTACCCTTGATCGTCCTAAAAGAACATCTTGTGTCATATTTGATATTGAAAAATAGTGCTTACTACAAGCATTCACAAAAGATGGTAATAGATTTCAGAGATATTTCTATCAAATCGACTCACAAAGTGTTGGGCATGTTATTGAAGAGTTAAAGTCAAAACTTTGTCACAAGAAATTTGGGAAAATCAAAGGCTTGTTCCAGAGTCTTTTCAATATGGTTAGTTGAGATGTGACAGAGATAGGGTTACTGAATGCCTTAAGTAAGTGGAATAAAGGAGGATGCCCAGTGCCGAGGTGAGACAACATCAGTGACCATCAGCGATTAAAGTACTGACAATCTGTGACCATGCCAGGTGCTAACTACAACATATGCAGAAGTGTGGTGGTGTATAAGGAAGGTAAAGGTTTGAAGAAATAAAAGTTGATGATACACTATTACAGTATGGTTTGGTTTCGAAGAGCTTAACACAATCAGGAATCTTGGAAAGAAAAAATTGAAAAGAAAGAAGACTCAGAGCATGTAGGATGTGTGCAAAACAATAACAACAACGGGAAGTCACTGATTTTGTCACAGATGCACCACTCCCGTATTCACAATCACAACGTTTGTGTTCTTGATCCTGTTTTTAATCAAAGCTTTACAAGTGTGTAAAAAACGAATTTACTGACTGACAGATCGTAGAGCCATGCTACATTTTAAAGTTAGCAGGTTTGTAAGACATTGTTTCAAACAAAACAATATCGCAAAATCTTAAGTCCTGTCATCATGAGTGTCTTGTTAGACCTTTGCAAAAGAATCTACCAAACAACAATCTTAATGAAACTTGTTGATTAGTTAAATACAATGTAAAGTGAAAATCCCCATATTCTTGAGGCTTAAACTTTCAATTTCGTTTTTCAAAGTTTTCAGACAAACCATGACAAACTCATTTGAGACAGTTTGCTTGCCTTGCAGTTTTGTCAAAGAGACACGGCAGCCCTTGTCCAAACAGCTTCCACCAACACACTATATGTTAGTAATTCGTGATACAGACGTCCATATTTTGTCCAATAACTACATTGAAATTGCATATTCAAAGCTGATAATTCTACATGAAAATAAAATCTGAAAGACAACAAAACTTTCATCACATCAGTATCCAACACATATGGTTGAACATTTCAAAATATTTTATAAATAAGTTATCACAAACAAGTGGAGAGTGAGTGAGTGAATGAGTGAGTGACGTTTGACTGCCTGTTTCCACATCATGCAATCCAGCTGCGTACCATCTTCCTTGCTCCGATCTGAGTATTGCAGGCCAGCATTCAGAGCCCCTTGGATTGTCTTGGTTAGATGGACCTGTCACACGCATGGTTTTATTCTGGACCCAGACTGACTTACTGAGGGAGAGTTCCATGAAACATTGTGAACTGTTTCTACTCGTGGAATTTCTCCCATCAAGACTGAGCTAACTAATTTAAATATTAGATGTAGTCAATCTTACCATTTCTGACTTAAGACTCCCTAAAGATTCGCTTAGAGACACATTAATGTAAATGATACATGCGTTCTCTCATAAATAACAAACAATTCTGAAAGTTTATGAACTGAACAGTTAAATTCAAAATATTTCCACAGGAATTATTGGCAACATTTCACTTATAAAAATGTACTTCTTCCCTTTCTTCATTTTATTTGTACCAGATATTTGAACACAAAACTGTACTATTGCCTTGTAGCCTGGCAACAGTGGCTGAATATTCCAAGGAGCTCTGAATGTCATTTATAACCTTGACAACAACATTTGGCACTTGTACGAGGAGCGTGTTTGGTGGGGCGGCATGCACGCACATGCACGTGCATGCACACGCGCATTCTTGAGGCGGAGTGGCTACAGACAACAACAACATGCAGCATGCACCAAGTTCATAGTTCAGCCATCTGAAAAGAGACAATAGAGTCAGATAGAGATAGATAGAAGTCCAGTTACAGGAGAGAAGCACTGACATCATACAAAACATAACGGCTGCTAATTGTTGCATCAGGTACCACCAGTCTTACAAACATTTCAGAACTAGCCTTTTTAACTAAAAAAAATAAAATTTGATTGGATGGTTATCAAACTTTAATTTCTAACCTGAAATCTGAAACTAGTAGTAATCATAAGTGTCGAAGAAATTTAAGTTTCAACAACAAGATCTTTCATATTTCCATTTCTATCTAGATCATTTTCCAAGATTTCTTCGGCCCGTGATAAAATACGATGTTCTCATACATTTTGGTAAAAGGAGAATGTACTGATATTTCAGCTATTCTAATTTACATGTCTGGTTATGCTACCAAGGCATACCACAATGCAGACGATCTAAAGACTAAGATCATGCACCTATTATTACCTATGTAACATTGTTGTCAAGAGTATTCAGTATTATCAGAAGTATCTTCCTACCTCAAACTACCTGACAGACATGTAATCTACATTCAGTTTAACACCATATCTACACACAATCAACACCTAGTTTGGGTCATGAAACATTCTTAAATTATCCATTGAAGAAAATTTACATTCATTTGGTAATATTGATAGCATTTGGTTATACGTGTACATTTTCCCCATGTACTTCAGTTAGAACTTCATAAAGTTCTGTTGTCTCAAGCACCATTCAGAAGAGCATTCATTCTTCAGAACAAGTAGTCATTTACGTTGTTGGGAAATTACCATTAGACATACAGAATAGGGAAATCGATGACAAACGGATTATTTTTTGTTGATATTTCTCATGAGTATTTTAAACAAAAGCACTTTTTTATATTGGAAAAATAACCCCTTACTACCTCAGCCCACATATTACCTCGACTCATCAGAAGCAGAAATGGTACATGAGGGAGTGAATACGATTTTACGCCCCTTTATAGCAATATTTCAGCAATGTCATGGCGAAGAACACGAGAAATGAGCTTCACACATTGCACCTAGGTCTTCGGCATGAAGAGTGAATGCTTTAGCACTAGGCTACCCACTGAACGGACCCATAACTCATCATCACTCACTAGTCTTTAGATTGACACACTTTCCTAAGGAGCACTTTGATTTTCTTCTAATTTAGAAAAAGAATATATGAAAGGAATAAAATAATATAAGAATCTTCTGGCACAAGTCCAAACAGAATGAAAGATGGTTAACAGTTATTTTGGGAGGTCTAAGCATATTTTGGAATGAAATGAAAAGTGTTCCATAACCATTAAGCTGTGCAACCCCAAATTCTCTTCCTATGCGGAGAAAAAGCTGGGAAATGGCACTCAACCGATATCTATTACCAAGTAGCAAAGACAACATTCACTGCAGTGCTTCATGACTGATAGCATGACAGTCTGTCATCAATATCTAATTACTGCGATTCATACCGATAATGTCTTTACCAGAAACTTGGATTGATGCAGTTAATTACTGTGACATTCACGTCAACTGAATATTTGATGACCTTCCCCTTGATGATTTTCTTCACCTGATTGCACTCTTTCAGCTGATTAGGTTTAATAATTTGTGAATAACCGTCTTTCACAAATTAAATCCTTTCAGACCAACTGTAATCCTATGGCAGCATGGCCCTTACAAAGTTTGACATTTTAGATTAGATTCTGAAAGAAATACAGATATAGTAAGGGAGAGTGCATTCTGTTGTGTCAGCATTCCGTTAGATGTGTGACCTGAATGCCCTGGCTAAAGTGCAATTAGTTTTACTGATGCAAGAATGCAACAAATGTTCTTCCATGCAATAGTATGGAAAGAGGAAAGTTGAAGTAGTTTTTCTCTTCTTTGTTTAAAACTTTCCTTACAAGCTGTCTTTTTCAATGGCATTCGTATCAACTACCCCATAATAATTCAGCTAAAGAAATGAAAACAATACCATCAGGGTAAAAAACATAACAATAAGGATAACAGTTAAGTATGAGATCAGAGAAGCTTGTTTATGTATCACAGCAACTAACAGCACCACCTGATATAATACTGAATAAAAATCAACTTAACTACCCTTAAGGTGACTTTCCAAGAATTGAAATAGAAAAACAGGTCGTTTTGAGATGAATTATTGAATAGTCATGCAGATAGGAGTACATGTGGAAATGGCATATTTACAAGTGGTCATCTGTTGGTGGTTTGCTTCATAAGTATTATATAAACAAATTTTAAATCTTAGAACAAAACAGTAAACCAACATAAGGTAAAACATTGTTCAAAAGTCAGCATGAAAATTAAGAGGTCATAATGTTTGCTGAAAATTGTGGTGGTTCCTGGAGTCAGAACAACACCAAAACAACAAACCTTAACGTCCCCAGGAACCCATAATTTCAAACACTGTAAAACACTGCATAAAAAGATGAAAATAATCTGCAATATTTCAGATACCTATTGATTAACAGCCAATACAATATGATCTATTTAGATGATAACAGGAACACTGACAATGGATCTATTTTGAGATGAGGAATATGCCAACAATATATTGAGTTTGAGCTTGAACAACTGACTGTCAGAACAACACCACTATGAGCAAAGTCTATTTATAGGAAGGAGTTAGTCATGGGAAGGTTCTGTGGTTAGGTGTTTTTTGTGTTTTATTCCAATGGCTTATGAAGCCAATTTGGGAAAAGACAATGGGACCTCACTAACAATATCTGTAGCACCAGTTCATAAAATAGTTTTGATTTTAAACCATGTGTAGGTGTATAAAAATACTGTGAAATACACATCCATCTATCAAAATTTAGAGTACCTGTGTGGATTAGATTTTCTTTGAATAAGAATGATGATTTATCATCATCGTCACATTTCACGTGTTTGTATACATTTGTATGGAGTAGCACTCATCTGACTTTCGTGAGGTATACACCGCCTCATTTCGCTGCCTGACTATATATATAGACACACGTCACTACTACGAGCATGTATTTATGGGTCACTGTGACCCGGTCCTCCAACCCGTGTACACATGTCCACCTACCACTACCTGACATTGAAGCAATGTGTCAAGTACATGGCGACAGAGCTATGGCACAAGTTATTCCCTATGCATACTGAGGGCTCACAGCTCCGAGCACTTATCTAGAACAAGACAATGTCTTGATTCGTTGGTTAAAACTAGTGACTACATCACAAAGTGGCTGTATGTATTCACAGGATTTGGAGGAATTTAATGTAAACAAACCCGTGAAGTATTGACAATGATGTTAGATTGGCGATGTCATTATGGATTGATAAGGGTTTGATGGTGTTTATGTCCAGGTGAGATCTACCACACAAATGTCAGACACAGATGCAGCTTGACTCACACCATATACGGCAACTTGAACAACAGCAACTTTATGCATAAACACATGGGCACATCAAATGTGTCAAGCTGATTTTGTCAGAAGAAATTTCTGCTTCTAGGAAACACTGCTATTAGAGCACTTGTTTTAAGGCTCTACTCCCTAACAGGGTACCTTCAAAGTTAAATGAAGAAAACAACATTTATTCTAAGTGAGCAACAGTTTAAAGGAACATGCCATTGTCAGGTCAAAAAGATTTTAATTAGGTTGGGAAAAAAATCCTTGTATTATACAATCATAACAAAAATGGTTAATATAAGATACTGGTGCCCACATCTTCCTGAGTGCGCAGCAGCACATTTACTAAATCTGTTGTGTAAAACTTCAAGATGCGATGAATGTATTCATTAACCTCCAGCAATGTTATCCCATTGTATCTCATATAGCCCCCCATTGATGTCTGTTGTGTCTTAGCAGCCTCAAATAATTTGATAACATATAGTTATCACCCTTCATAGGATACCATCAACAAAATGTATAAATGTTGTAGAAAATATACACAAGAAAAAATTACATTTTCAACAAGCTCTAAATTATGAAGGCAATATGAAGACAAAACCTTTGTGACCTAACTATGGCATGACTTTGCATTTCCTAGAAGCACCATTGTAACACAAACTGACAGAACACTCTACAACCTAGACCCTACTTTCTTTGAGCACTACCACATCTTCAATAACATCGTCATACAATTCACCTGGGACACTCTCTGAACACTCCTCTGTTGTTGACACAGCACTGCCACCATTCTTCAGCACTTCTTTTTTACTATCAAGCCCATTTCCTAGCTCCTCTCCTACTGAAATCACAGAGATGCCATTGGGCACACTGTCATTGTCACCGTTTTCTAGAAGCAACGGGCTCCCTTTGCCCTCAACAAGCTCTGACAGAGTTCGGTTGAGACTCTCAGAGTCCTCCAAAGCTTCACTAACATCGTCAGCTGAATCATCATTGTAGATACTGTCCCCGAGCAGGCCTCCATTAGGTGGTGAGAAAGTCATCTTCAGTTGCATCACCTGGACATCACCAAAGAAAACAGTCAACATTCTAGTTCTGTATATAAGCTTTATCACCGTGGCCTGGAATTAATCAAGTCTGAACCAGGCAAACCAGTGACTGAAAGCTTGAGCAATGATCCAAGCCATCAGGGCATGGTGATATGCAATTTGGCAAGTCACAATGCCTGACCATCAGATCCAATTACATTTCCTCTTAGTACCAGCAATGGGGAGCTTGGGATCTAGTCTAAATCAACACTTATTGAGCAGAGCGTTGGGTTGGAAGGTGTTGTCTCTAGCACAAAGAGGAAAGAAGTGAGGTTTTTCCCGCCTTTGCGCATGGAAGAGCTGTAGGATACTGGTGCTATTACAGTAACAACTAGTTGTGTGTAGAAGACAGTGAAGAGGACTTCTGTTGAAAATCTGAAGAGTTATTTGTAGTGCGGTTGCAGCCAAATTACAGGATTTATGACAACAATGTAAAAAGGTAGAGGATTCAAAAGAATTACAGCTATACAACAAGTGCATAAGATTCATCTTTTTAAAATAGAGAAGCAGACTCCAGTCACCTTCTGCAGTATTTCCTACAAAAATGTCTTTGTCTCACCTCATCCTGCAGATCAAAGATCTGGTTCTCAAGGTCCTCGGTGTCCTCCTCTGCGTGTAGCTGACCCGCAGCCAACATCTCCTCCTTCTACACAGGCAACAGGGAACACTTAGTTGGGCATGCATCACCAACATCAGCAACATTATCTTACTGGGGCTACGTTAACACTAACACACACACACACACACATTAGCAGTTTGAAACATTTAGAGTCAAAATTTGTCTATTGGCAATAATTGTAACTGCTCTTAATGTTAGTATTTGGGCTATTACAGTCTGTGCCCTCAACCTTTGAGTCTACTAGACTGAAGTTGGTTATTAGCATCGTTTATGTTCATTTTGATGTCATTATTAGAATATTACTACCTGAGGTTTCAACAAAATTTTACTAAACTTGAGCTTCAGACAAGTGGCCAAGTGAGAGTGGTGCGTGAATGAGGAGCTGTGTTTACTGACCTAGTCAACAATTATACATCTTAAACAGGACTGTGGTACAACAAGGACCTTGATCGGACAAACCAATGTTGAACAGCATGACTTTGCAGCGTACAGTGAAACAACAGTGAGCATTAGGCCCCGCAGTCACTGATAAATTACAATCCAAAAACAGATGCCATTGTGGCCACCAGATCCCCACTTAGTTGCCTCTGATGACAGGCATAGCGAACTGAGATTCTATATAGTCGCCTCTGATAATTCTATTTAGTCCATCGCTAAGAGGTTGATCAGGATATCAGCTTCTGAACTGACTGACGACAAGGTAATGGATGGAGAAATATAAAGAATGAAGCTGTCTTTGATACTGGGAAAATCATGCATAAAAAGATTCAGAAAAGCCTTTACAACATTCTCTATAGAGGTAGGAAACTTTGGTAGAAGACAGAATATGCAGTGACTGGTCAAATGAGGTTTGTTATTTGGCAGCAGTCACGCCAGCTTAATCAGCAAGCATCCAATTACTCATTGTTTACATGTTTACTTTTGTTTACATGTACACTGATTGTATATGGGGAAATTAGGGGATGTTTATTTTCCTCTAACAGTTAATCATAAATATACCATTTGTTTGTTGTTTAACGCCGCAGTCAGCAATGTTCCAGCTATATGATGGCAGTCTGTAAATAATCGAGTCTGGACCAGACAATCCAGTGATTGACATCATGGCCATCGATCCACCCAATTCGGATGACATGCATCAACCAAGTCAGCGAACCTGACCACCCAATCCCGTTAGGCATAGTCGCCTTTTACAGCAAGCATGGATTGCTGAAGACCTATTCTACCCCGGGTCTTCATGGGTCTCATAAACATACAAAATCTTGACATCTGTACTGATGAAAATACAAAGCAAACACCATTAACATCAAGCATTCACACAAAATATTTCATCACCCAAGATGTATACATATTCTATATACTTGTTTCTTTCTGACATTTTCAAACATTTTTATCATTGTACAATCACACACATACTACAAGATGTGACATAGAAAAAAGTTTCATGTCAACACAATCTGAAAAACGTTAATTGGCAACACTGCTTGAAACTGCTGCAGTTTCAGTGGGCAAAATAAGACAATAGCAATTGACTGACAACGCTGCAACACAGACAACTGATGAATTCCAGTTGCTAGGCAACTGATAGTGGAGTTAAAGCTCACCTGAATTTCAATACTTGCTATTTTCTGTTTAAGTTCAGCTATCATAGAAGTATTTTCTGCCTCTTTAATACGAGCCATCATAGACTCTTCCTTTTTCTGAAAGACATTTGTTGGGTTTTGTACAACGTCAAGAATTACTTACATGTCTCAATATTTCTTCTCTTAAACATGGTTAAATGATGCAACACAGACATCAAAATAAGAATACATATCTGTAAGTCACTAAACTATCAAAAATTACATTTGTGGTGTTCATGCTATTAAACTGGTTTTATTGTTGTTTAATGCCGTGCTCAGTAATATTCCAGCTATATGACAGCAATCTGTAAATAATCAAGTCTGGACCAGATAGTCCAGTGATTGACATCATGAGCATCAATCTACACAATTGGGACACGCTGACATGCATGAACCAAATCTTTTAGCCCGACCACCCAATTCCGTTGCCTCTTACAGCAAGCATAGTGTCTGAAGGCCATTTCTAACCCAGGTCATTTAACAGGTTCTTATGATTATTAATACTAACATGTTATATAGGAATATTTAAATAACCAGTATCTTAAAAACACACGTAAATTTCAAGTTCACAGAAATAATTCCATAAATCAAGTTACATAATTGATAAACCTCATATGATTTCAAAACAGTTAAAAGTCAAAATGATTTGCTGTAGAGATGCACAACTGAAGCAGTGGAAAGCTTAGCAGAAAATAAATTTCATGCACAAAAATATCACAAAGAAATTATAACTGGCATTCCACATTATTAAATCAAAAAGTATAAGCCTTACAAAATGACTTACCCTTGACTCCATGTCATCTATTTTACGCAAAAGCTCCTTAATAGTGGTTTTCATCTCCCGATCAGATTCTGCAGCTTCCTGAAGACGTGTTTTCAATAATTTGCTGTCTTCGTCCATTCGGCGAATTTGATTGGTACATATGTGGTTCTATAACAGAACAGATACATACAGACACATATCTTAGCAGGAACATTTAAGCATTGATTTGCACTTGTAAAATGCTTGATAAATAACCATTACATTGATAAATGACCATTACATTGTAAAAGGATAACTATTTCTCAGACTATGTTAATCAATAGTGAATGAGTGAATGAGATTAACCATTGAATTCTGCCTGTAAAGGTTTTATAGGCATGAAATAATTCAAAAGTAAAAACCAATTAATTACAATAATTATGGTCCAACTTTCTCACATGATGATAGGATTACCTCCCCTTATCTACACTTTGCTAATGAAGGTAATGGCTCATTGGACACTTGTCCAAAATAATGAAAAGACCAAGTGTTAGCCCTCTTTTTTCTCAACAGATCTGCTTATGTTAAGCATAGCACAACTGAAATTGCAATCAAAGTTATCAGTTATCTGTTGATATGAATGAGAACTAAACCTTTTCCACGTATGTTCATGGACAGCACAAAATGTACAAAAAGCTAAAATGAGCAAAAAGAAATGGTTTAAAGGGGGATTGATCTGAACTATTTTTTTAGGAAATAGAGAAATTAATTTGCTCTTGATTTGATTTTCCTACTTTCACTCATTTTATCCAAATGTAAAATTTTATCCATACGGTGATGCCAAATGATGAATTACAAAAGGTGATAAAAACTTAAAGATCTTCCATGACCTTTATGCTGGATATTCTTTTCATTTGCCAGAGGAATACCTTTGACTTGTGCAGATTGCTCAAGGGAGTGCCTGATAATAAAGCTGGAACTGTGAACACTCACACCAGCAGTTGTGACTCACTTGTGTTTCAAGCTCCATGACCTTCTGCTTGGTCTCCTTGCTCTCTGCCAGAGCCTGGGCCTCCCTCACTTTCACTGTCATCAGCTCCTCCTGCAGGTGCTTGATCTCCTGCTTGCTGCTCTTCTCCTTCGGTGACGTCACACTGTTTTGCCTCTCCATGTATGTCTACAGCAACAACACACAGGGTCAAGTCTTGCCTGTCTTGTCTTACAGGGGTAGATTAATGTGTAACCATCAAATGGCCACAGAGTCCGTTAATGTTGAACATCACTGGTCCAATGCAAAACTCACTAAGCAACTCAATATGTTCAAATTAAACAGTTGGGTTGGTATAGAGAAATATCTCCACACCGCTAAGGTTTGTTGCAATAGTATCTGAATCTTGGGACACTCTAATTTTGTTCCATTAGGGTAATGAGGAGGACCTTGACTTTCATACATTATTTTAAACACTGCTAAATTTTCTCTCTGACATTAGCTATGATTTACCTGTATGAAATCATTAATTGAGATAAGACTGTTTGAAATATGCTCACATAACACCCTATCAAAAACCAAAAAAGAATATAATCATGCTACAATAATCATAGTTCCAATAAAATCTCATGTCGAAAATTAAATTTTAATTACAAATGATAGCAGGGCCATCTACAAATTATTACAAATTACTGGTATAGTTAAAAAAAGGGCAATCTTATCTGTTTTGATTGGATATTTTCTTTTGATCAGTTCCAGTGGCAAATGCAAGTGTTAATTGTGTGGTTCAAACTGGCAGATAGGTTTTCCAAAGCTTCTTTATTAGTGAAGATAAGTATGTCAGCATACATCATTAGAAATACCAATATACTTTGTTGTAAACATTGGGGATGGGGGTCGGTTACGCTGCTTTTTGCAATGTTATGCACATATTGTATCCATGCTGGGAATCGAAACCAGACCTTTGGCATGACAAGCAAGTGCTTTAACTACTGACCCTCCCCCCTTGTTACACTGAAGACATCTAACCTCCCAATAGGTCTCAATCTCGTTGACTTTCTGGCGGAGCTCCTTCAAGGACAGGTTGGCCTCTGCTTCCCGCAGCTTCACTGCAATCAGCTCCTCCTGTAGGTGCTGTACATCATTGCTGGGCGCCCGTTGCATCTTCAGGTTCGTCTGCAATGTTCAAATGTTACTGAAACAGCTCTCCATGGACAGAATCTGACATGTACAAAATCAAATATCAGAAAGAAAAGGGGTCAATAGTTGTTGCCATTGTGCTATGTAAAATCCTTTTCAACAGAGATATTTCATTGCAGTCATGTCCTTGCAGTCAGTCATATTATAGTCATTGAACAGCAGCCTGTACACAATGGAGTCTGATACCAGGCCAACACATGGTAATTTGCATTAGCCATGATCCAGTTTCAATATGATGACACAAAGTCAGGCAGATTACATTGTACCACCTGATCCTCATGTAATTTGACAAGCATGGGTCAATGACGACCTCTTCTGCACAAGACACTCTACCAGGATCACATAAGTAATAACATATGTAGATGGTAAAGAAATGTCTCAGCAACTGGGAGAGTGACTATTGCTGTATGGCAGCCTGATGGTAATCAAGTTTGACCAGGTAGAGCAGTGGTTGATACAATCTGGATTACGATTTTCCCCACAATCATCCAGGCCACACCTTGAGACCTGCGATGATCATTAATCAGCTGTCAAAAGCATGGTGTGGCCCTATAGTGTCCCTGCTCATGATATTTTGTTTTGTGACATACATCCTCTAGCTCCTTGATCTTGGTCTTGAGTTCCTTGATGAGCATGTTGGTCTCTGTCTCCTTCAGCCGCACACCGATCAGCTCCTCCTGAAGCTGCTTTATGATGGTCTTGGCACTCTCGTCGGTCAGACACTCCGCCTCATCTATGCACAGCGTCTGAAACACACAACATACTTATACAGCACTTGCACTTTCCTGTACTACATATGGGAGAGCATTAGGTCAGTGAAACACAAGTCTAAGATATATATGACAGACTACAAGTACTTGAAAAATGGATTTTGATCATTCTTTTCCATGAGAATATGTGAGTGAATGTTGTTTAATGCCACAGTCAGCAATATTCCAGCTATACACAGTGGTCTGTAAGACAAGACAAACCAATGGTTGATATTATGAGCACCATCCCACAGCGCCAGGGTACAATGCCACACAATCAACCACAGCCTGACAACTTGATCCAATCTAGTCAACTTTTACGACATGCACCAGACCTGCATGGACCTATTTTAATCCAGGTTCTCTTGGCTCTGCCATCAGCAAATGAGAATATGAGACATCTCAAATTTAAAGAAATCAAAATTGTCTGACACAAACACATACATTCTAAAGCATCCTGAGCAGGCATATTCAGTGCTTCAGAGAAAGGAAGATCCTGTTTGATACCTGATATATCTCCAAGTAAGATTGATAATTTGCTTCATAAAAGAGAAAATCATTTGACTTGAATTACAACAGTTCAACATAATTGTTTCTTGCTCAACTTCTCATTATATTAATCTATGAACACAACATTAATTATGCCATTGCACTTCTGAAACACAAGTGACAAAATGACCCAGTCCCATGTTAGTATGTACATGCTGGAGGGATTACGGTGCCGCCTTCACATTACCGTATGTCTGTCAAAAAGAAACATTTTACCGAGTCCTATGGAAATAAGTAATGAGAATTCTGAACCTTTTCTTCTCATTCACCACAAAACAGACACTACAAACCTGCTGTCATAGCCAGACATTATAAATACTGTTCTAACTGTTACATGTCTCATGCTTGAAACAGATACGAAATTGAGTTAATCTGCTGTACTGTGATGTGGTAACTTGTGCATTATTACATTTCACTACTAGACTCATCATTGACGGTTAAGTGAGTGACTGAGTGAGGAGGTTTTTTGTCACTCTGAAATATTTTCTGTTATATCACGGTGTGTCAGCTTGATGTGAGTGGAAAGTAATGTAGGTCACAGATGTGTACTGGTTATGGTGATGAATGAACCTAGCAACATAATAATGGCAAACCAAGATTTAAGCCCTGTTCATGATCATAGGTTTCTGACACACCTAAGGGAAGAAACTCTGCACAGCAACTTGCTGCACCTTAGACGACTATAACACCAGTGCCCCCAGAAAACAGGTATGGTATTTTATCTTCATGCTGCACATTAAAACCTTTTTCCAAGTGACTTCCTGAAGTCATCAGTTTGATCTACCTCATGACAGCCCTCATACAAGAAGACTTTGAGATGGATAACACCTTGATATTTCAAAAGGATATATTACACTAGCTGGCTTCATGCACTGATGTTGCATGTGATAACGTGCTGCCTTGGTCACGGTAGCCACATTGCGTGACTCTGGAATAATCATTGACATGCTATATTGTCAGACACAAGCAATTTCCATAACCAGTTACACATATATATGAAGGACAAGTAAATATTCCATCCAATTTCCATAACGCTACCACGGATATGACTTCATTTGTTGTGTAAGATACGAGACATAGTCACAAACTCACTCAAAGCTCATTTGAATATTTGTCAAATAAAATTATAGTTTGGTGTCTTTTCAGTACAAATTCAGTAATCCAATCTTAACTGTATACGGTAATATTAATATCTCATCACTATACAATACAAACACAACGGGTTCATTATGCTCACAACATCCTCCAAAGACCTGACAGGTCAGGCTTCTGTTGGGCCGATAACCTTAGTTCTCTGAGCAGTAAACTTAAGTCTTTGGAGTTCTGTTGGGCAGCAAACTTAACTCTTTGGGATTCTGTTGGGAAAGTAACCTCAAGTCTTTGGGGTTCTGTTGGACCAGTAACCTTAAGTCTTTGGGATTCTGTTGGGCCAGTAAACTTAATTCTTTGGGATTCTGTTGGACCAGTAACCTTAAGTCTTTGGGATTCTGTTGGGCCAGTAAACTTAATTCTTTGGGATTCTGTTGGACCAGTAACCTTAATTCTTTGGGATTCTGTTGGGCCAGTAGCCTTAAGTCTTTGGGATTCTGTTGGGCCAGTAACCTTAAGTCTTTGGGATTCTGTTGGGCCAGTAACCTTAAGTCTTTGGGATTCTGTTGGACCAGTAACCTAAGTCTTTGGGATTCTGTTGAGCCAGTAACCTTAAGCCTTTAGGATTCTGTTTGGCCAGTAACCTTAAGTCTTTGGGATTCTGTTGGGCCAGTAACCTTAAGTCTTTGGGATTCTGTTGGACCAGTAACCTAAGTCTTCGGGATTCTGTTGAGCCAGTAACCTTAAGCCTTTAGGATTCTGTTTGGCCAGTAACCTTAAGTCTTTGGGATTCTGTTGGACCAGTAACCTAAGTCTTTGGGATTCTGTTGGACCAGTAACCTTAAGTCTTTGGGATTCTGTTGAGCCAGTAACCTTACCGTAAGTCTTTGGGATTCTGTTGGGCCAGTAACCTTAAGTTTTTGTGGCTCTGATCGGCCAATAAACTTGGCTTTACCTAACTGTTACTTCTATAACATGAAGAACAGTACAAACCAACATTTAGTAGTATCAGTAATCCAAGGGCATTTTTAAAAAAGTGAACCCAGCTGAATGCACAGTATGTGGTATCATGTAATATGTCAGATCTAAACAGTTTAGACAGGATACAAAAAACTACAATGACATCAGCAAGTTAGAGCTGTTTTTGTATGAACATGTGACTAATGACTTGCATGAAATTGTTTTCCTCAGTGTAACTCTTGTAATTTCAAAACCGCTATGTATTTGGGATCACTGACTTTCCTATCCCTAAATTATATCCAAAAATCGGATCATACATTCATGCATTGACACAAAGCCATACAATTTCGTAAAAGGAGGATATGTAAACTGATGTGAATATGAATGTAACACATTATTTCTGAAGGGATGTAATTGGAGTTCTCAAGTTACTGTTATTCTGAGCAACAAAAATTAAAGGTTGGGTCTCTGAGCAGTGAACCTTAAACATTTTTTATGTATCACATCTTTTGTGGTGAATTTTAATACCACTGTAATCCATTTAGTATTATGCCAATGTGTATCATCACATCCCTACTGTCAGAGCTGCTAAACTCAACACTGGCTTGTCACATCTTTACTCTCTTTAGTCACTGAGAAGGCTTGCAAACTTGACTAAAGCAACAATGTTAGGACAAGTGCAAGTAGGCCCCTAAGGGTGGAGATGATGACTACAGTTATACAGGAGGAAACAATATACTCATGTGGCACCACACAGGCTCATCATTAGTGGGGAAAATGGTGGGAAAAGCTAGGTGTTACTATATATATAAAACTCTTAAAACTGAGTGAAAGTACATAAGTATTGATAATACTAGGAATTACAAATGTTTCATATAACACTGAATATAAAAATATATAATTAAGTCAAATATATTAAAAATGTGAAAATGCAATTAAAATCCAAAAGAATATCAAATACTATTGGTTATTGGTTTGAAACAAGCAGCTCATTGAGGATAAAATCTCAGAGTGAGTGAGTATGATTTATGCCGCTTTTAGCAATATTCCAACAATATCACAGCAGGGGACACCAGAAATGGGCTTCACACATTGTACCCATGTGGGGGATTAGACCCCTGTCTTCTGTGTGACGAGTGTACGCTTTTAACCTCTTGGCTATGCAACCACCCCCTTAAGTAATACATATATATATATGATTACTCAGCTCATCCTTGTATACCCAGTGCATTATATCGCCATTCTATTTCGATAAATATGCTGGACACATTCACCAAAGTTTTTGTACTGGATGTTACGTCACTATCTCCATCTCTCCTACCATAGCAGAGCAATCCTAACACTCATCAGTGATCAGATGGAGGATGTAATTGGAGTTCTCAAGTTATAGCTCCGCGCCAAAGGATCAAAATTTTGCTGTCAACTAGGTCCAGGATATCAAATTAGAATGGAGATATAATACACTGGAACATGGAGGATGTACACAGATGCACCCAAGACATGACTGACAAGCTATATATCTGGCGGGATATAAGGAGGAAACACTGCCACCTGGTGTTAATTGTGTCCAATACCTGCTACCCAGCAACCAGAGATGGATCATGTCGACTCTCACACGATCAACAGTGCAACTCATCAGATTTTCTTTTCTGTTTTGACGGCAACGTGTTCACAGTTGTGATGATTTGAGAATATTCGAAATGTCAACCATTGGCATTGTCTCTTGAAAAAATCATTTATCCAGAAAACTAAGAATATAGAATACATGTCAGAAAATTGTCCTAAGGCTCCCCTAAAAGTTTTTTTCTTCTTCTGCAATTTTTATTCAGGTTCGATCTGTTTCACAAACTTTTAAAACTCTTTTACAATTAACTTTTTCATCAAATGTGACCACCAGTCCATTACACAAAGCCATTAGTGATCCATCTCTGGTGTTTGCTTCTGAAAGGCCTGAAAAGAAGGTCCCTGTAAGCACACTGCCCCATCAACTGTTGCTAGCAGGGTCTAGCTAGAACCCACAGAAGTAAAGTAGAACAGAAGTTCCCCAGCTTAACATACCCAGTGTCCACAATTGAGGTCTTTGAAACCATTTATGCCCTAGAAGGTTGATTAAATAAATGACAAATATAAAACAAAATTAAACATTCTACTGTAATTACACAACGGCATGCAAAAGATTAGAACATGATGTGAATTACCTCCAAATAATTCCACTAAAGATAATGTTAGAACGAATTGGAAATCTGAAATAATTTTCCTACAATAAATAAAATATTAAGTTTTTTTGTTAGTCCCATGCATAGCATATTTTTTCAGCTTATGAGCAACATTTTATGGAATTTGATGTATTTGGCCAAAATATATTGGATTTCAAATATCCCTACACAATACTTTGGAAATGTGAAAAAAATAAATTTAGAAGCATCACAGAAAGCTTAAAAGAAAGACACAACAATTCTTTATAGTAAAAACAAATCAGGACAATAAGCATGCTCCAAAAACAGTTGCAAAATATACATGTGACAGTACCTTAAATAAAAGGGCCCTGTCCCACAATGTAAATCTTAGGCCCAACACTATAGCTACAATATCAGGGATAGTTAATTAAACATTTCCCAATTCATGTTGTTATAGTTTTAACTAGTGACTTTGTAGAGGAGACTTGTATTTCATGATATAACAGGACCAATAGGAGGAAGAGGCATAGGTTTAACATTATTGCCTTTGATGCAATGTTATAACAATATTATACACCTCTGAGTTGTTTTAACCAAATAACAATTTCTCCCAATTTGTCTGTCAAGGGTACTTTGTTGGAATCCTAGATAATTCCCTCACACCTGCACTTACGAAAATCATTTTGTAAGACTTGACCTAAGATTATCAGCGTTAGGACTTGATATTTGTCACTGGTTCACAAACTGGGAACATCACAGTCTGTGCCCAAAACTTTTGATTCAGCTATCTCGAACCTTTCAGTAGATCTTAGCTTTAGTGGATGGACTTCTATTAGCAAAGCTAACCGGACCACAAAAATGTTACTGGGCTCGGGCTAGGGACTTAGGGCTGGGTCCCAGACTGACATCATCAACCAGCTAAAGCTTAGCTCTACAAGCTTCATTGCAATTGTTTCCGTTTCAAATCAAAAGTAGTTTGAAGTAGCATAAGGAGTATTATATCATGCAGACATAAACATTTCATGAAAGTTTCTATGACTACAATTTGCAAACCCAACCTAGAGGTAACACATAATCATACTCACTCTTCTCTTAACCTCGGCAATGAGTATGTCAGCATCTTCCAGTTTCTTCTGAGCTTCATAGTGAGACTGTTTGAGAACTGAGAGCTCATTTTTCAGAGCATACATTTCCTCAGCCTCTTGGGCCCGGATCACCTGGTCTTGAATAAGTCGATCTGCCAGAGATGCAGACTCCTGAAAGGATTAGTTAATGCTAATATGGAAGATACATGACTTCTGACTCCATGTACCATGTCACATCAATAGATGAAAATACTATACTACCCAGAGATACCCTCTTCGGATCACTTAAGCTCATGTATTACCCATGTCATTAAGTGAACAATAAGACACATAGGGTTGAAACATAAGGGGTCTGAATCTTTCAGTGATTCATTAAAACCTTTTTGTTTGTTTGTTTAACGCTACATTCAGCAATATTCCAGCATTATGATGGCGGTCTGTAAATAAATGAGTCTGGACCAGACAATCAAGTGATTAACATCATGAGCAGCAATCTACGCAGTTGGAATACGTTGACATTCATCAACCAAGTCAGTGAGTCTGATCACGCGATCCTGTTAGTCGCCTCTAATGACAAGCATAGTCAGCTCTTATCAAAACCTTATTGGAATGCACAGCAGCACAATCAAAGAGTGAGGGAATTTATGTTGCTTGATGCCACAGCAGCAATATTACAGCTACCTCACAGTAACCTCTAGGAACTCAGACCTGGACCAGTCAAGCCTATCTTGCCAGCATGATCAACAGTGCAACACTGGGGTATGATCAGACTGGTACGACACATGAGACCGGTAACGCCATCTGCTGTCCAGTATGTCTGCATTAACAAACATGATCATACCCATACTGGAATACCCATGTGGGCAGCCTCAACCCTTCACTTTACATCAAGGTACAATATCTGTTCTGCAGAAGGTGAGGTTAAAGGTGAAATTGGGTTGAACGTTATATAGCCATGTGCATGCACGTGAGTGTGAGTGTGAGTGTGTGTGTGTGTGTGTGTGTGTGCGTGTGCGTGTGCGTGTGCGTGTGTGTGGGGGGGGTGCAGCTTGTACTAGTCTGGACTGATGCCGATTTCATAATGCTAGCCCACTGAGATACGAGCGCCAGACAGGGTATGTTCTGATGAACACTACTTGTAAAGGAGTGAGTGAGTTGGTTTTAAACTAAAGCAGCTTTTAAAAATATGCCAGTCATATAACGGGTGTGTCAGCTTAGTGTGGCTTGTAAAGCCTGAAGTGAAGCAGGTCTCAGAGACTAACCACCTTGGTGAAACCCACTGGTGTGGTGTTGACAAGCCTAGAACATAATCGGAAAACTACTTGAACCCTGGAACGTGAACATTTTTTGCATACCTTTTCAAGATTATCAATTCTTTGCCTGAGTAATCTATTTTCTGTTCTCAGCCTCTGCAACAAAAGAAGATATGGTGAAACGTCTACATCAATAGGTTCCCTCCTTTGTTGCCCAGGTCATCAACCTATGTCACAGACTAATGAATTAGATGGAGAGTAAGAACACAAGACAGGGAACAAACTCATAGACAGGCAAACACACTGGCCTTTGGGCTCTCCACAACTTCAACCAATCCCTTGTTATATCTGCCGGTTACAAGAAACAATATATTTACAGGTACTATCTTGTAACATTGGTTCGATGGATAGTAATTCTATAGGGCTGTTTACCCGCAGTTCTATCTGTTCCTCATTTTCTTTGCTTTTCAAGGCAGTGTACTCCTTCTCCAACCTGAAAACAAAGACAAACATAGTATAACAAAGAAAATAACATAGAATAACATTAACTTCTTGAATCCATTGAAATATCAACATCAAAACAAATACTGCAGCCGAAATATTTCCCCATTTCAAAATGCAGTTTTCGAAATTAAGCATGAAAGACAAAGAGTCCTTGTCATCACCTCAATGCTACAAATTTCCATTGTATTATGGGCCGGTGGCCTGAAGTACCGAATAAATTTGTCTGTCTGTATATTCTACAAAATATTCAGGTATGTACACTTTGCAACTCATTGATACAGCAGACTCACTAGAATTATGATACCGGTAGTTGCCATGGTTTCAGAATACCAAGGACCCATTTTGGATGAAGTGACTTTTCTTCAGTGTTAAAATTCTTGAAGTGCAAGCCACTTAACAAATTTAACAGCAAACTAGAATGTCCACTGTGTGTCTATGGTGACGTATTAAGTTATCAGACATGTTCCATCAGACACATACCCCTGATTTAAACACTCTCTTGGCTTATAATCTCCCAAATCTTGCTTATTCTACATGGAAGAAACTAATAATGATAAACAAGACAGGAAAGTGAAAATCAGCTATGTACCTGAACCAGATGCGATTCATGTTTCAAATTTATCCGAATTATACTGTCAAACAAGATCGTGAACTAAGAACTAAGTTGGAGCATAAAACAATGTCACAGTCAACCCAATGTGATAGATGGGGCTTGAGACCAACAGTATCACAGCCATCAGGTTCACTGCCCTCATACATAGGGAACACTCTCTGAAAGCCCTGTGCTCCCTATAAGACTTAGTACAGAAACAACATACTTAACGCTAATTAAAACCCTGATCTACAGGTGTCACTTGGGAATCTGCCAATGCTTTGTTCTCAAGCACCAAGCTAAACCTGCGACAAATGTCATTAAGGAGTACCACTCTGTATGCACAGGTAGCTGTATTCCTTAGGTAGTACTTATCTAATTAGACATGATAGACAAAGGCTGTAATTAAAGACTAGGGATTAGTAAAGATAACCGCCAGGTCTAGTTAGGAGGTGAATGTTTGGGTTATGTCTTATTAGGTTATGGTATCGTCTGTAAACAAGGGACGTCAGCGACAATCAGGTGTAATGACAAAACGAGGTGTACCCTCAAACCAATTTCTGGAACAATTAAGCTGTATTGGGTATAATCTCTTTTCCCCCACTTACTAATACAATGGTGGCACAGGGGTGCCATGGACTTTGTTAGAGGTAATTCTAATATTTTTTTTCACAACATATTTTTTTCCAGGACGTCCAGCAAACAATTTTTGCTTCTAGAAAAAATATTATTCAGCAAAATTACAAGCTGCATGGACACATTCAATTGAATTTTAAAATACATTTAAGGCATATGATTTACTAGATCTTATGATGACACAGTATCCATGAGTGTTAGGCAATTTATGCAATGTTGAAAAATTTATGAGTCAAATGACTTCAAGATGATTTATAGAAATATCTCTGCACTTTCTTAGTTTCAGGTCACCGAATCCTTTATAAATTCAACAGTGTTTGAAGAATATCATATTGTATTAATAAGTGAATTTGCTCGAGACAATTGACATTAGGGCATTGTGCATGATAACATTAACATTTTATTGGACATTCTAATTATTACTAAATTAGAACAAAACACTCTTAATGACATTTTGACTGATAGTCTATGTGCTAGACAATGAAACCCATTTTCACAAATCCTGGGACCCCTGAAAAATTCAGTTTTAACACTAGGTCTATGAGAAAGTCCCCAGTATGTTTTCCTTAATTTTGAACTTTGCTCATCATTAGCATGAAAAGTAAATGGAAGATGAAACTACAGAGACTTACAGAGACTAACAGTAACAGTACTGTTGTCAGCTCAATACCATCATCTGTACAAGCCATGAGTCCAACAGGTGTAGTCAAATTTCATTTGGTCTAAGCTTAACTAATAAAAGTCTATATATGAACACGAAAATCTACTGGAAATGATGTCAAGTGACAAATTCTTGCTAGAGCAATTATGTGTTAGCAGAGACTTTAACAGTGCTAGGCACAGTGTATCTCCTCCCTCATAAAGAGTTTATAATATGCATTATGTGTCTCTTTAACACTGACATGTGCACTTCCAGTTTATGTCAAGATGAGCGTATATAAAGTAGGCATGTCACAATACAGTACATATTGCAATACTTGATATGTGCCCCTTTTGCATGAATTTCATCATCAGGGTTAGAACTCAACTCGGAAGCTTTACTAGCCCGGGAAAAAAGACAAAATGCACTTGTAATGTTAACACAATGTGGAAGTTTGTTCTAGCCCACAGACATTTGTAGAAGCCCTGGGCTAGCGGGCTAGTGTTAAATTCTAACCCTGATCAAGTAACAATTGCTGTCAAATCAACACAAGGTTAATTAACCAGTTTGTGTTACATGTCTGGTTAATCTGGTCCTGTTCTAAGTCTTTAGAACTGATACACATAAGAGAGAGAATTTAAGAATGTCCACTTCTTTATTATGAGGAACAGGGGCGGTCGGGTAGCCTAGTGGTTAAAGCGTTCGCTCGTTATGCTGAAGACCCGGGTTCGATTCCCGACATGGGTACAGTGTGTGAAGCCAATGTGTGAAGCCCGCTGTGATATTGCTGGAATATTGCTAAAAGCGGCATAAAACCATACTCACTCACTACTATGAGGAACATGTTTTTGAGCATTGCTTACTCCTTCACATATACTCCGAAACCTTGTGTTCCTCATAATAAAGAAGTTGACATCCATAAATTCTAGTCTTGTTCCAATAGTTATATGCAATCAGATATAACATTTTGTTCAGGTAATGCTATAAGATCATTTTTAACAGAATTAATACATGAATGGATACAGCAGTAGGCGTGTCGTGTATGATATTAAGTATAAATTCTTACAGCATCAATACAGCAATGAATTGTGAATATAAAACCTGAACTAAACATGAAAAGAAATATCAGAAAATATATCACTTGTTAACTTTTAGTTATATGTGAATACCATATAAGAATAAAGAAAATATTTTTCTTCTCTGAATATATTTCCATGGCAAGCACTTGTTTATTTGTGATAAAAATTGATAATTGTCATTCTGTTGGAATGTTGGAATATTGACAAGTGTTCATATTAATGTTAAGTGCTGACAGCTTCTGCAACCCTTGATACATGATACGTCTATAAGTATTTCCTACCAGTAATAATGACAATACGCCATGTCACCCACAGAGGCAACAGCTGGCCTGAATGCCTGAGGATCATGTTGTTTGTGACTCAGACAGACACAGTAACTACGCAGTAAAGATGCCGCTGCTTAGTTACCAATTCTTTAATAATTAAAGCTGTGACGTGAGAAAATTTATATGCAAACTGTATTTTCAAAAGGAACTGATATTGTTCTGTTATAATCATCAAGCAACTCCTCGTTATTTCCATGATATATTTAAATATTTATTATGATTCCTAATCACCAGCTATCACACTTACTAGCAACACAGACCTTGTCACATACCTTCGTAAATATTCATAGATAGGACAATTATTATTACAAAGTGTCAATTATTTGTACAATTTTTGTCTTCAGTTCAATAATGCAATGTTAATATTTGTTGTCCTTTTTGTATCAAACACATCACAAGAAAAGGGGGAAATCACACAAGTTATTTTAATACATGTATATGAACCAAAAAATCTAGACATTGTCCGGAAACCCTCTGACCTAGAATTCCCCACAGATAATTATGAATTTACATCACGTAGAATGATACTTCATGAAACCACATTCTACAACGATATGCTTCTGTTACCATGGTGACCCATTTATACCACATGCTATGACTTGAATGAAACTCAACAGTCAAATATTCAACCCAGTACAAGTACATATTTAGCCAAAATATATTTGTAGAGCATAGAAACCTTTCAGTTTTCGTTTCATAGTTTTAATCTCTGTCACTTCAGATGAGGCCTGTTTGAGTATGTAATGTCGTTTGTTTGTTGATGCCAGCTTTATGAAGGCAGACTTAAAAAATCAAGCCTAGAAAGACATTACAGAAATTGACATTATGAGCATCGATCTACATGATTGAGATATGATGACATGCAACCAAGTGACAGGGCCTAACCACCCGATCCATTTAGTTGCCTCCGACAACAAGCATAATGGTTCAGCAGGAGACCTATTCTCTTATCCAGATTCCTCGTCTGTCTCCCAGACAATAGAGAAAAAAATAAAAAGATGAATTCGATTCAAGTCTAGAATGGTTTGGCAAGTCTACATTGCCTCACCTCTACAGTAAGCCTTGTTCTGGGCCCCACTTGGCTCCTTGTATATTCTGTAGATATACATTTTTAAATAAGATAACTTTATTTCTGGGACTAAATGTTAGTGTACCAGATTCCCACAAATGGAGATGTTATGCTTGAGAGAACCAGTAATCAGAATTATATGACAGAATACCCTCAGCTTACCCCTAGGTCAACATTAGCTATGTACCTTTATAATACCTTACAGTGAGGCAGCAATATACCCCGGAGAGGAAATTGTAATCAAGGACAAATTCTAAAGCCTACCAGTGATCAAACAGATTCTTTATTCATATCTTCATTCAGACGGATCATCTTGTGTAGCATTCTTTACCTGTCTACCTTTACTCAATCACATGTGGCAGAATATTTTTATTTTATACCACTAGCACCACCATATTGTCACTAGTAACCAATAAGAGACCTTCTAACATAACTGCACACATTGATAAATGTTTCTAGGCCTACAGGAAGAGGTTTACCTTGGATTCCATACCAAGTGCCCAAACCGAAGTGGGGAAAAAGTTATACTGTCTAAATTGAGATTTTAAAAAATGTTCATATTTTACTAAATTCAGAGGTATTTTAACATTGCATCAATGAAATAATCTAAAATTCATATACATTGGTAGTGACAATCCGATATATCT